GCAGGGGAGGGGCAGAGGGAGAGAGAGTCTCAAGCAGACTCCCCGCTGAGTGCAGAGCCTGATGTGGGGCTTGATCTCATGACCCTGAGATCATGAACTGAACCAAAATCAAGAGTCAGATGCTTAACCAACTGAGCCACCCAGGCCCCTCCATTTTTAAAGGTTTTTAAATCTGTAGAACAGGGCACCTGGGTGGCTCAGATGGTTAAGCGTCTGCCTTCGGCTCAGGTCATGATCCCAGACTCCTGGGATCGGGTCCCGCATCGGGCTCCCTGCTCCGTGGGAGCCTGCTTCTCCCTCTGCCTCTCTCTCTCTGTCTCTCATGAATAAATAAATAAAATCTTTAAAAATAAATAAATAAATCTGTAGAACAGGGGCGCCTGGGTGGCTCAGTCATTTGCCTTCGGCTCAGGTCATGATCCCAGGGTCCTGGGATCAAGCCCTGCATTTGGCTCCAGGGAGCCTGCTTCTCCCTCTCCTCTACTGCTCCCCCTGCTTGTGCTCTCTCGCTCTGTCAAATAAATAAATAAAAATCTTTAAATCAATTTGCAGGACAATAAAAACCAGACACTAAGTATGTTTGCTCCTGTTCTCGAATCTCAGACATGTCTGATTTTGGTAGTCTCTGTATCCTCATTAAAAAAAAAATACTACAATGGAGTAAATACCTCATTAGGGTATTATAAGGATTAAAAAAGATTTTAGAGCCATAGCCTTTTCTTTTTTTTTTTTTTTTAAAGATTTTATTTATTTATTTGAGAGAGAGAGAATGAGAGACAGAGCACAAGAGGGAAGAGGGTCAGAGGGAGAAGCAGACTCCCCACTGAGCAGGGAGCCCGATATGGGACTCGATCCTGGGACTCCAGGATCATGACCCGAGCCGAAGGCAATCGCTTAACCAACTGAGCCACCCAGGCACCCCGAGCCATAGCCTTTTCGAGTGAGTGGTTGTGTGTTCACCATCTTAGGAAAAAGATGTTCTCGTCTGTGGCGTATCTGGCGAACCCATTCAATGCGCCCCACCTGCGGCTGGTACACGATGGCCTCACCGGCCCTGCAGCAGCCCCGCGGGGCCCCCGGGCCCGCCCCACCATTCCCGCAATCTGGCAGCAGCCTCTGTGGAAGAGTATAGTTGTGAATATGGCTCTGTGAAGTTTTATGCACTGTGTGGCTTTGGTGGGGTCTTACGTTGTGGTCTGACACACACTGCTGTCGTTCCTCTGGATTTAGTGAAATTCCGTATGCAGGTGGACCCCCAGAAGTACAAGGGCATATTTAATGGATTCTCAGTTACACTTAAAGAGAATGGTGTTCGTGGTTTGGCTAAAGGATGGGCTCCGACTTTCACTGGCTACTCTATGCAGGGGCTCTGCAAGTTTGGCTTTTATGAAGTTTTCAAAGTCTTGTATAGCAACATGCTTGGGGAGGAGAAATGCCGATCTCTGGCGCACATCACTGTATTTGGCTGCTTCTGCCAGTGCTGAATTCTTTGCTGACATTGCCCTGGCTCCTAAGGAAGCTGCTAAGGTTCGAATTCAAACCCAACCAGGTTATGCCAACACTTTGAGGGATGCAGCTCCCAAAATGTATAAGGAAAAAGGCTTAAAAACATTCTACAAGGGAGTTGCCCCTCTCTGGATGAGACAGATACCCTACACCATGATGAAATTTGCCTGCTTTGAACGTACTGTTGAAGCATTGTACAAGTTTGTGGTTCCTAAGCCCCGAAGTGAATGTTCAAAGGCAGAACAAGTGGTTGTAACATTTGTGGCAGGTTACATAGCTGGAGTCTTCTGTGCAATTCTCACCCTGCTGATTCCGTCTACTTCAGGATCCCTCGCCCTCCTCCACCTGAAATGCCAGAGTCTCTGAAGAAAAAGCTTGGGTTAACTCAGTAGAATGATCAAAGCAAATGTGGACTGAATCTGCTTGTTGATCAGTGTTGAGGAAAGTGCAAGAGGAACTTTTATATATTTGACAGTGTAGGAAATTATCTATTCCTGGTATAATTACTGTAGTCTCTTGCCTAAGGCGAGGGTTTCAAACCCACTGTTGAAATAAACCCAACTATTCATGAAAAAAAAAGATTTTAAATATATATACAAAGTATATTAATATATTTATATTACAAATGTTTTGTATGTTATAAATTAGTATACATATGAAAAATATTACTATAGCTGATATCTTTCATTCAATACATGAGGGAAAAGAACCAAAAAAGATGGGATGTGGCGACTCTATACACCTAGATGGGACAAGATAGAGGATGGGAAAATGATCCCTGGCTTAGCAAATGGGAAGAGAGCTGAAGATGTCGAAGTGGGACGGCAAAGGCAGGAGTATGGTGTACTATGAAGGCGAGGAAACCAGTAGAACAGTCTCTCTTAATGGCACCCTAAGTGTTAGGAGGATTCCAGGCCGTGTCTAACTTACCTGCTTCTCTGTACCTGAAAGAACTATAAATTATGATTGTACAAGCTTCTAACCTTCCTTCTAGTTATCAAAGCTAAGGACAAGGATTGGGGCAGAGAAATTAAAATGGGTCGGTACATTCCCTCATTTCTCACTCACTCCCACCTCCCAGCACCTAGAAATTAAGAGAAGAGAAGCAACCCCAAGCAGCACTCAGTTTACAACAGGAAGGAGGAGGGCAGGGAAGAGGCAGAAAGAATGAACAGACAGTAACTCAGCATCAGCCAGCTGGCAACTTCCTTCACTAGGAGACCTGGACTACTAATACTGAAGTGACTAATCCACAGCTGTTATTAAAAACAAGATTACAGTCTGCATCAGCCCCAAAAGAAAGGCAAACACCGGGTGAAGGACTTTCAGAGGGGCATAAGAGAAATCAGCCCATCGTTACTAATCAGGGAGCAACGGAAGACCCCTAGGGAGAAACAACGGTAAGTCAGCGCAGGAAAGGTGAGGAAGGTGATGTAAATTCAGGTCGTGCTGAAGCCAGCGGGGAGGTGAGAGCACAGGTGGGCTGTGGGGAGCACAAGGAGGAGGCAGTCTGACACAGGAAAATCGAGGGGGAAGGAAGAGTAGAGGGAGGAGGTGGTAGCAGAAGAAAGAGAAGGTAAGATGAGAACAGAACATTTCAAACTAACCCAGAACTCCATTGTGAAGGACAAGTCACGAGGCAAGATACAGCTCAAAGGCATCAGCGCCACGTTTCACCACTGCAAAGAGGTAACACAGCCTTCCCAACGTGCACGGAGGGAGGCTATGCGATCTGCACCGACTCCCAGAGCTCCCCAGGATTACTGAGGCTTTTCAGTGGTACTAAGTCCCCGCAGTCTTGGCGTGTACTTGAAACTGCTTCCCCGAATAGACCCCAGTGCTGAAAAAATAATCATAACCTGTAGGGGAACATATTTCACTCCTGGTGGGTGCCTGACTGAGGGAGTGGAGACTGTCTTTCCCCTCCCGGCCAGTATATGCACCCACCTTCCCCTACAGTGGACTGAAGGGAGAATGACTCGGGCTAGGAGCCAGTGGGCAGCCGATGAGAGGACCAGCACCCCTGCTCCACGTGCCACTGCAGCTCCTTCAGGGCATCCCTGCATTTCTTTCACGTTTACATCTTCCCCAGACAAATGAACCGCCCATTCAGTCTGCCTTCTGCTTCCAAGTACACAATTGCTAGTGTGTTTAAGAACCATAACTGGAAGGCAAATTGGTATAAAGGTTGTTTCCACCTTCTTAGTCATCTTTGGCAGAGAGATTTCTCCAACGCACCTTAAAGCTCTATTGCAAGGTGACTCTTGGGGAACCATCCATTCAGCTCACAGAAGAGGAAAGTCGAGGGGGAGGCAAGAACTCTTAATATCCCAGACCTGACCAGGCTATGTCAAGATGGAGAGGGGAGGGCGCCTGGGTGGCTCAGTCGTTAAGCGTCTGCCTTCGGCTCAGGTCATGATTCCAGGGTCCTGGGATCGAGTCCCACATCAGGCTCCCTGCTCAGCAGGAAGCCTGCTTCTCCCTCTCCCACTCCCCCTGCTTGTGTTCCTGCTCTCGCTATGTCTCCCTCTGTCAAATAAATAAATAAAATCTTTAAAAAAAAAAAATGGAGAGGGGAAAAAAAGGAAAATGACTGACAGGCTGTCCTATTCCAGTATAAAAGGAGAAAAAAAAATAAGCCTTAAAACACCTCTCTCTCACTCGTTTTGCATGTTTGAGAATATCAAAATATAGGAAATCAAAACAAGAGCCAAATGTCCAATTTGATACAAGCCAGGGAAGTTTGAAAATGGAAAGAAACACAACAAATGGCTAGAAAGGTCAGGAGCAGCAGGTCAGAGAATTCAAACACAGCAGTGAGACGGAGGGGTTTAATCCGGTGCGTGGGGCTGACCCTGCTCCTCCAGCTCACCCCCGCCCTCCAATCAACCACTCAAAAACACCAGAAGAGCAAGGAATCACCTCTCAAGCCACCACATTAATTTGACAGGCAACTTTCAAAGGATCCTTATGGGAGAGGTGGGGGGAGGGAGAAAGTTTAAGCAATGGAGTAGGACCTCAAAGAATCCGTGTGATTCAAGGGTACTAAAAGGAACTGTCTTTAGGGAAATCTGGGCATTCTCATTATCTCTAGTCTCTATACCTACTCTGCTTAAGGAAAAAATACCCACCATCCTGTCTCCCTGATGTTGTGAAGACAGGCCATGAGAAGCACTTCCACAGCCACTGTTCATGCGAAAGGGAAATAGAAGCGCTGCCTACGAGCGGCACCATCTTCTCCAGCCTGGCCTGGGGCCAGTGGGTTGTCTCTCCCCACAGGCTCCAGTGAATCAGCAGCACAACTGCCAGAGGTGGGGAGGTGCGGGGGGGGCTGTGCCTTTTAACCCCCTTTCCCTCACCCCATCCTATAACTCATAAATAATAACTTAGGGGGTTGAAGCAAAAATGTCAACCCCTGCTGCTTAGACAGCGGTCAACGGGGAAGCACACACAGCTGGGAGGACAGGGAAGAAACAAGCTAAGGAGGTACTTACTCAAAGTCCTCAAACTCCAAGTCGGTTCCCTCTACTGATGGGCCCTGGTTGTCTGAGGAAGAGGAGGAGGTGGAAGAACGGAGACGGTTCTGCTGATAGCGCATGGAGCGCTGGCGAATACTGTCTCTCCGTGAGAGATACTGGATCATCCTCTGGGCGTAGTATGCAGCAGGAGATAATCTGAGAGAGACAGAGATGGACAAACACAAACTAGCACTAATGTGGGGAATACTGTGAAAGACAGTAAATCCAGCTCTCCCATGGCATCTCCCTGCTGAGGCGAACTCCGGAGACATGAAAAATAAAGGGCATTTAACTCACCAGGAGATCTGTACTGCACAATATGCTTATCAGACTACCACCAGTGTTTCTGTTCTGAGAGAAGGCAAAGAGGCTGTTGAATCAGTCATCATCTGCTCAACGGCTGCCCTCCCAAGGGGATACCACTGAACCTGCCTTTTTAGTTTCTTAAGGGACCCCTCATAGCTGCTTAGGGTGCTCTTCACACAGATTCACGGCCTTCTTCAAACATCCACACTCAAAATATAAGAAACGAAAAGAGACCACAACAATCATCTACAGGCCAGGTCTTCTTTCATTTTATACAGGAAAAAGAGGCCAAGAGATGGCAAACCAGGCATGACCAAAGAAGGCGCCATCTTCACCAGGACGTCCTTCCTCTCCAACAAATCCACACAGCTCCAGATTTGTCCTAGCTCCCTAAAATGAGCTCTCTGAACCTCTCAGATCTATGGATTATTCACAGATATTTGTAACACAGAGAAAATATTCAGGATCGAAAAAGAGACTAAAATATACTCAGGAAAACAAAACCTAACAGGGAAAAAAATTTTCTATTTCTTACACTTACAACAGAGCATCAGAGGCTACGTGGGCACTAAGCAATGTAGTAGGCAACAGTTATTCCTTTTTCTTCTCCCTTACCATGGCTATTCTCAGTGGATAATTAGTCTAGACCTCTATTCTTCTAACTGTGGCTTAGTCTTCATATTCCATGAAAACATCTAGTGTCCCATACAATTCACCACATTCCCTTCTTTCTCAAGTTTTTCTTCCATCTTTCACAATACTGCTACATACTAAGAAAGTGAGAGAAGAACAATAATAGAAAAACATTTTATATGATAATATTAAGTGGATTACTAAGAAATTTCCAGGCTTAAAACTTGCCTGAGGCACACACTTTAACTCAACAATTCCACTAGGAATTTTACCATACAGAAAAACACAAGGATACAAAGATATATATATATATATATATATATATATATATATCTGTATATGTTGTTAGCATTAGTGAAAAACCGGAAAGCGTCCCAAATGCCCAACAGATTAAATAAACTATATCTGTACAAAGAAACACTATGTAGCTATTAAAAAGAATAAGTCATCCCTATATACACACAAGAAAAACCCTCTAAAGCAAAAATTTAAGTGGGAGAAAAATTGAAGAATGGTATGCATATACTAATATGTATATAAAAGCATATGTACTTCTGCAATTAGAACAAAAAATTAAAAGGAAACACAGCAATCCTAATGAGGATTCCTGGGAATCTTAACTTCTATAATATCTGAATATAAAAGGAAAAAAACATATAAACATATATACACACACACATATATTTTTTTTTAGAAATCTGAAGAAACTGAGAATGGAAATAGTAATAGTTACATCCAATGATAGGAAAACTATTTACAAAATCTTGCTGCCTGACTTTTCATTACCCCTGGACAAATTTTCTGGGAAAATCCTCAGTAAAACCACTGACTCAGACCAAAGAGATTCTGCAGTCACCTGCTATAGGAACTAAGGCTACCTCTGAAATGCCAGTCATCAGAGGTGGTATCCTTTTGGCCAATCATCAAATGGAATTCCCAAGCAGGCCAAATTACAATCTTTGGAACTCAAAAGTCCTTGTCATAGAACAATATACTGTATTTGGCATCCCAGAATCCAAATTATACAGCAGGGCAAGGGATGCACAGATGCCTTGGCCAAGATCATCAGAGTACAAGAATCATTTCTTAAAAGTCTCAACGTGTGGAGCTTTCATTATCCATTGGTCCCCTATTGCCATATATTTTGCAAGGATGAATCAACAATCCTAAATTTTCAAGAGACAAAAGTCAGCACTCTTGAGTTGTTCTTATATCTACTAAATATACAGAAATCTTCCAGAAGTCAATCATTGAAGGTTAAATTCTCAAGTCAATCAGACTAGAAACGAATGTAAAAAACATTTCAAGAACAGAATGAAGATTCTTTTTTTGGAACTAATTCTGAAAAGTGACCATAAGTATACTCATTCCTCAGTTGATAGCCCACCCTAACTAATGGGAAAATTATATTATTGGTGACAGAAGTAGAAAGAATGTTGATTCATCAGACAATAATAAAGACTACCCTTTTATGTAAGGGCACAATTTCAGCAGTAGGTAACCCCAATTGTTTAATTTCACTATAGGATAGGAATTCCCTAAGCTACAAAACTATGCATCAATGGTAAAGAAAAAAAGGATTCCTGGCACAATTATCAAATACAAGTACATCCTGGCCTCATCTTTTTTAGGTATCCAGAGGGAAGCTAAGGATCTGAATGCTGAAATGCCCCATAAAGGCTTTGACCTATATGTATTGTGTACGGTGAAGTCTAAGAGGAATAAGAAATTAAACAACCAGTAATGAGGTAGCAGTCATCCTCCTACTGAAGAGCTGGATAATCACCAAACTCTAGTGTCCCAAGTAAAAATTTTAAATGTTTAAATAAATCCACAAGTTTTATTCAAGGAAGAATACTTTCTCCTCCAAAGAAAACCTATTCTGTGTTCAGAGAGAATATGTAAAAATAGCAACACCACAAAGTATGACACTTTCTGTGATAAAGAGATCTGAGTGGGAGTAAATAAAAGATTTATTACATGAAAGGAGGACAAATAATGGTCTCTAAGGACCACTGTTAAACTTTGTCAGGCTAAAAATTCTGGAGATGGGATTCCTATTGCTGTCCTAAAAGAAACTCTTTTATAGCAAGAAATTCTCTTCTCAGCGTTTCAGAGTAATCTGATTGACACATAAAATCTCCCTCTCTTATTTAGGACTGACTACTTTCAAGTGTGATCAGAGACTAACATAAACTTCCTTGGTTTGGTCATCATCTCAGCTGCCTCCAAATGTTCCCCGATCCTTGGATTTGCCATTGTATGGAAAAGGAAGTAAGACAGTAATGGGGAATCCTTTCATTAGTCTCTCAGAAAGAATGCTCAGTATCATGACATAACTGTGGCAATAGTGAAATCACTCAATATCCCAACAATCAACTTGGTCTACGGGTCTTTCCAGACTTGATATTCTTAATCTAAAGCAAAGCTCATTTAGTTTCATCTAACCTATATTTGTTAACTTGCCAACCCCACCATTACAAATTGCTCTTTCTTTTGGCAAAGCCTCACAATATGCTCTGGTATTGCTTACATAATGTAAAGGTTATCCCCTATTTAGGTCATTAACAGAATCAGTAAGTCTGGTTGTGACAACGCCAAAGGGCTGCTCACTATAAATAAATGTTATACATCAACTCAACACCCATCCTTGGTCCTCAGTCACCAGTATCAGGTAAGGGTGGGCTTTGAACTTCTCTAAGTGCTTTTTTAATCTCTTTGAGAACTCTTCAAATATCTTCTGATCGGTGTAAGGTAAACACTTTAATAAAATGCCAACTTGTTTTAGCTACCCTTTTGTTAGTCATCTCTTCCTTTAGGTTGCATCCAAAAATTGAACATCTGAATGAGTTTGACTTCTACCTTTTGATAGTCTAAATTCTCTCTCAAATGAGAGAAAGTAGGATTATTTGTTAGTTGGTTAGTTTTAATTTGTAAGTAATTTCCCTATTAATAACAATTTGTTTCCCTTTTGGCTTTCCATCTGAATGGCAACAGCCTCCCTGATCAGCAAAAAAGGAGTATCCTGTGACTGCCAGTGGCCTCCTCAGGTCCCTCCTCTAAGTGCCCCACTTACAGAAATGAGCCCCAAAACACAAGAGCTCAGTCACAACCCTCTGCCACCAGAGGTTCTGTTCACTTACCTGCAACACTTCCCAATCACCTGAACCACCTGTCTCAAAACTGTTAACTGAAGAGTAAAAGAGCACCAGGACCAGAGAGGCACAGAATGGGGCTTCCAACAGCTTGGCAACCCCAAGGGCAGCCCCTCCCCCCCACCTAGTGCCATTTCTCACTTTGGCCTTACCTCGCTGGGTCTGGGTAAATTGGGTGCTCTCTGGATCCTGCTCCATCATAACGGGATAATGAAATGAGGGAAGACTCCAGCAGCCTCCTAGCAGAGATTAAAAAAATGGCAATAATCCCTGTCAATTACCAACTCAGAGGTCATTCATAAGGGAAAAATAGGGGGAGAGATAAATAACATCCCCCTTTGTGGCTAGCTAGCACCTGCTATCTGGGATCACAACCTTCCTACAAACTAAATACTTAGAGACATAAATAAATGAGCTACAAAGCTCCCACACTGGACATGGCCACTGTATTATGCTGAATACTGCTCTTCTGTGAGAAATGAACAAGTGCTTCAGAGACATGATCTTATTTCTATTTGCAGTTTCTCCAGCAGACAAATAGGAGGTTGGGATCAACACAGGAGGGGAAAATTAGGCATACCCAGACATATTCATGTAGTGCCAACATTTATCTTGGCGTTCAGTTTCTCCACGTTATCCCCTTATCTTCTCCTCATTCTGCTCTGCCCATACCCTTTTTGTGAGAAGAAGTACTCCTCAGGCTCTCTTAACTGACAAAAATCTTTAATTATATAACCTAGCCCAATCATAAGTTCAATTGATCATATGTCAATACACCCACATTTTACTGAGCACTTTTTTGGTGCCAGGCAAATACTAAGCACTTCATATATATTTCCTTACTTAAAACTCACCACAACCTAGCAAGGCAGGCATTACTATACAAACATGAGAACACTGGGCCTAAAAGTTAAGTATATGGCACTGTGCACAGGGCTATTGATAGCACCAGGACTCCAGAGAAAGTCAACTCCAAAATGCTTCAAACCACAATGCCCTACTGTAGGACCTTCCAGGCTCCATGCAGGTAAAAAGTGAGTATGTTTCAACTGTGAGTCCAACCTAGAATGTGGGCTCCGTATTGCTGGCTCTTCCTGTTTTTTAAGGGAAGCCAGAAACCTGGACTTTTCCATGAAATCTCCTGTTAAATTTTAGCTAAAACATTTTTTCCCTCTTTGAACAAGGGCCAATTAAAACACATCTGATAAATGTGGCCCAGGGACCCCCCAGTTTGCCGAGTCTGCCACACTCCTTCCCAACTCAAAATGTGCCTTGGCAGCCAATCAAGCTCCTGCCATAGAACACGTTTCAAAGGAAATGGTCTCAAGAAAGAAATGCATATTGTTCCTCTCCAGCAGCATCTTGCCTGGCTCTCCCGAGAACAGGTCTCCGGCTCCCTGCCAGACTCTTCTTTAAAGCAGATCTGCAGGATAAGAACAGCAGCTACCAATCTTTCCCAATTGAGTTAATTCAATTCACTGTTATTAAAACCAGCTGGCTTTAGGTAGAGTCATGTGCAGTCACTTTATCCCAACAACTGGCTCACCAAAGCATCTCCCCTAACAGCCTGGGGAAGAGCTACAGGAGAGGCCCTGTCAATCTGGCTTGCTACCTTTCCTGCCCAGGATGACCAACTGTTAAAATGCTTTCTATCTAAACAAGGCCTAATACCTCCCCACACAATTCACTTTAAGCAGTCCTACCACTGAAGGAAGAGAAAATTACAATGTAACCAGTGAGGAAGAGAAGAAAGCAATAAAATACATCTCTCAGGCCTGGGATCTTCAGTGATATCACTGTTGACAGCAGCAGTAATGCTGCTTCTTATCAATTCTAAGAGATACCCTCCCGTTTTAACATGTCTGAAATTGGGATGCATCTCATCATTGTGTGACAGTTTATTTTTTTAAAAGATTTTATTTATTTGAGAGAGAGCATGAGCGGGGTTGAGGGGGCAGTGGGAGAGGGAGAAGCAGACTCCCCACTGAGTAGGGAGCCTAACACAGGGCTGAATCCCAGGATCCTGAGATCATGACCTGAGCCCAAGGCAGACGCTTAACCACTTGAGCCACCCAGGCGTCCCTGACATAGTTTACTTGGCAGGATTTTTTTCTTTCATTAGGGGCACATAAAATAATGGCATGTCTTTGAGTCTTGAACTACAGAATGTTTGTGAGAGGAAGGGGTAGGGAGAGGTACCTAGACTGGAAAAAGAAGAAAAGTGAAATTGAGAAGAATATCTATTCAGGACATTTATACCATCTTAGATAAATACTTGTCCAATACTAACTAATTAGTTCTATAGGAATTGGGAAGGAGTTGAATGGAAGCAAGATCTGGGAGCAGCTGACATCCCTGAACACCCAGAAGTTTGTTCCATCCCAAAGGGCTCTGGAGTTAGTCCTGAGTATAAGTGAGCCCCATAAGGTTATCCTCTAAACGGCTGCTTAGTAAGCAGAAGCCCTTTGGCAAGGAGCATCCTGCAGAGCGACCAACATATACCTTTTTTAAGTACTTCTGCCTGGAAAATGATGCTGCTAAGTTAGGAAGCCAATATTACCCCCATTACTATGCTAAGGCAGTGTCAGCATTCAGAGATGACTTTTTAAGGATCATGTAAAGGAGATTCTTGAACTAGAAGAGTCTGGATTAGATAATTTCAATTTAAATGATTCCATTTTATAAACCTGCAGAGTCTACTTCCCACCCTAACTTCCTATCTTCATTAGAAAGACTTCTTTAATCAGGGTAAAACCAGAATGTTAACCTTTGTCTCTGGGGAGTCCCTGATGAGGTTCTTTTGGAACATGCATCCCTTGTGCCTACTTACTACAAAATCTGCTGGCACCATTTATGCTCCCCAGGCAATACAGTGGACTGGCAAGCCATATATACATATATATATATATATATATATATATATATATATATATATATATATATATGTATGTATGTATGTATGTATGTATATATGGCATTCTAACTGCTAATACACAAAATCAGAAGCACCAATTACTATGAATAGCACCCCCACACACTTATCACTGATTAAACATTGAATTCTCTTCAGTTACAAGTACTATCTGAAGGAATAAAAAGGACTTCTCCAATTGGTGTTGAACACAGAAAGAACCAAAGCTACCAGATGAGTAAATGTCACCACCACTCCTAGGAACCTCAAAGAAAGATCTTTCTCTCCTACAGTCAGCTTCCTGCAAACAGCCATCACTGGAGAAATGACATAAGAAAATGGGATGAGATGCAGCTGTGCACCTTCTTCTCTGGCCACTACAAATGTGACCTGACTTAACCATCTCTCATGCAACTCAATAATGTGAAATCAGGTAGGACTCAGGAGGGGGTTCAGACACACTTGTTCAAGTTTGAAGCTACCATTTCATTCTGACCTGTAATCACAATTTAGAAATGTTTTTAAAGAGTCACTGAAACCCTTTACAGGAAAAAAACACACACAAAAAAACCCTCTTTCTTTGCAAGTTTGCCCGGTTCATTCTCTGTACCAGTGGTGTCCAAGTGAGATACACAGGGGTTGTGCTATTTTGATCCACTGGAGAACAGAAGAAAATATCAGAACTTTTTATTTATAATGTATAACCATAATATATAATACACACACACACACACACACACACTGCTCAAAAGACTTTTACTAATAGAAGTATTTTTTTTTAAAGTCTGGAGACCACTGCTCTATCAAACTATATCCTACTTTTAAGAAAATCCAACATTCGGAAGAATAAGCACAAATATATAAATATAAAAACCATACATCTAAAAGAATAAGCACAAAACATAAACATAAAAACCATAAATATGTAAAAGCATAACCATACTCCTACATAGCACAAGAGAGAGAGAATGATAAAGCAAACGTGGTAAAATGCTAAGATTTAGGGAATGTGGGTGAAGGGTATATGGGAATTCTTTGCACTATTTTTGCAACTTTTCTGCCAGTCTGAAATTATTTCAAAATTAAAAACATTCAAAAAAATTAAAAACATTCAGTATACAAAATTGAAAAGTAAACCACTGAAAACTAAAAAGAAAACTCTTCATTCTCAAAAGAATCACTCACTTCTTAAAAAGGATTTTTTTTAAAGATCTGATTTATTCATTTGAGACACAGAGATACAGAGAGAGAGAGAGAGAGAGAGAGAGAGGGAGAGGGAGAAGCAGGCTCCCCACTGAGCCAGGAGCTCGTGTGGGGCTCGATCCCAGCACCCTGGGATCATGACCTGAGCTGAAGGCAGATGCTTAACCATCTGAGCCACCCAGATGCCCCTTAAAAAGGATTTCTTAAAATAGCAAGTTGCCCTAATACCCTAAGGTAGGTTTGGTAAACTACCGGCCCCAAGTCAGCTGCCTGTTTTTTGTTTTTTTTTAAGATTTTATTTATTTATTTATTTGACAGAGAGATAGAGAGCACAGATAGAGTGGCAGGCAGAGGGAGAAGCAAGGCTCTCCGCTGAGCAAGGAGCCCGATGCGGGGCTCGATCCCAGGGCCCCGGGATCACGACCTGAGCTGAAGGCAGACACTTAACCGACTGAGCCACTCAGGCGCTCCCCCAGCTGCCTGTTTTTATAAATAAAGTTTTATTCAAACATGGACACATCTACTCATTTATATATTGTCTATGGCTGTTTTGGAGCTAGCAAGGCAGAGTTAATCCTGACAGGAACAGGCTTAGAATACTTACTACCTGGTCCTTTACAGAAAAGAAATCTGCCCACTCCTTGCTCTAAAATATTTGCTTACATAAAATCCCTTGAAAGATAAAGTGAGGGCGCCTGGGTGGCTCAGTTGGTTAAGCGACTGCCTTCGGCTCAGGTCATGATCCTGGAGTCCCGGAATCGAGTCCCACATCGGACTCCCTGCTCAGCAGGGAGTCTGCTTCTCCCTCTGACCCTCCCCCCTCTCATGGTCTCTCTCTCTCTCTCATTCTCTCTCTCAAATAAATAAATAAAATCTTTAAAAAAAAAAAAGATAAAGTGAAGTCACTAATAAATGGAACAGAAAAATATGAAATCAAAGTATTACATGCTTGAGTAAGTCATCAAAAATTAATATTAAACCCTGATAAAATCATTAGTCAACAGAAACACAATTCAAGCTGTAAAATTCCTAACATTTTAAATGACTACAGCTATTTCTTCCTTTCCTGATTAATACTCTGAATACGTGTAAGTGGGAAGTGGGTTCCCTAAATCCACTATATCC